CCCCAGTGCCACTGGAGCTTGGGCTCAAGCTAGAGGAGGCCAGCACCGCCTCCTTCCTCCCTCTCCAGTTCACACATGAGTGGGTGGAGGAGCCCGCCTTCCTCCCTTGGTAGCTGGAGGGGGAAAGGGAAAGGCATCAGCCCAGACAGTGCCTCTGATTGGCACCCTGGCCCCCTGTGGCCTCTCTTGGGTCATTTGGGACCCTGGCCCCACACCAGGCCCTGTGCTGGCACTGGGAATACAGTGACAGACAGGGAGGTCAGGGGAGGCTTCCTGGAGGAAGGTTCATCCCAGCGGAGACCCAGCGGACACTCTCTGCCCCTTTCTTTTGAGTTCCTCAGGTAGGGTCCCTTCTGTGGCCTTGGTCGCTGGCCACACGCATGGAGAGCACCCACTGAGGAGCTCTCCTGGTGACCTTCTCCTCCCACACCCTCTCCTGCTGTTCCTGGAGCGTCTCAGGCCACGGCCTCCTTGTCCCCATCTCTTGGTGCAGTGGGCCCTTCTGAAACATCCCTGGGGTGCACGAGGGAGGCCTGGTCCCCGCTAAGTCTGAGCCTCACTCCCCACCTGGCTCTAGCCCCGCCCTTCGGGTGCCTGTGCTGTCCTCACCAGGGCTCCCCAGAGAAGCAGCCTGACAGGATGTGTGCATGTGTGTGCATGTCCATGTGTGTGCACTGTGTGTATGTGTGCTTGAGTATGTGTAGTTTGTTTTAATGTGTAATGTGTTTGTGTGTGTAGTATGTATGCAGTGTGTGTAGTGTGCATTTGTGTGTAGCGTGCATGAGTGTGTAGTGTGTGTAGCACCTGTGAAAGTGAAGTGTATTTGTGTGCAAAGTGGTGTGTGTGCAGTATGTGTAGTGTGTGTGAATGTGGTGTGTGTAGTGTGTGTGTAATGTGTGTGTAGTGTGTGTGTGCAGTTTGGGTGTGTTTGTGTATGTTTGTGCTGTACAGGTGTTTGTGTAGTGTGTATAGTGTGAGCGTGTGTGTAGTGTACATGCTTGTGTCAGTGAACATGTAGTGTGTATAGTGTTTTTGTGTGAATGTATGTATGTGTAGTGTATGTAGTGTGTGTAGTGTTTGCAGTGGGTGTTTGTGTGTAGTGTGTGTATAGTGTGCTTGTGTGTACTGTTTGTGTGTATTGAGTATGTGTGTGGTGTGTGTAGTATGTGTAGTGTGTGTTAATGTGTTGTGTGTTTGTGTATAGTGTGTTGTGTGAATGTGTGTGTAGTGCGTATGTTTGTGTGTGTAGTGTGTGCGTAGTGCATAGTGTGAATGTGTGTGTGGTGTGTAGTGAGTGTGTGTGTGTGAGAGTGTGTAGAGAGAGATTTTAAGGAGCTGGCCCACGTGACTGTGGAGCCTGGCACCTCTGGCATCTGCTGGGTGAGGCTGACAAGCTGGAGGAGAGGTGGGCGTGGCAGCTTGGGCCCAAGGCCAAATTCGGGAGGGCTCCTTTTTGCTGGGGCGGTCAGTCTTGGTCTAGCCCGGCCTTCCCTGAGTGGATGAGGCCCGCCTGCTGAGGAGGGCAGTCTGCTTTCATCCAAGTCCACCGATTCAGAGGCTCATCTCATCCTCCAGAGCACCCTCCTAGAAACACTGTGTTTGCGCCAGGTTGAGGTGGTGTGTGAACTGACCATCGCACACCCATCCACAGGCCAGCTGCCTCTGGCTTGCGCCCAGCATATGTGCTCCGCGAGTGGCAGTCCCTGCTCTCTGCCGGCATCCACCTGGGTCCTCATCCGTGCCTTGGACCTGACGTGCTGCAGCCATACCCATCGTCCTCCCCTTCCGTCTCCTGGTCCCCAGTGCCCGGCTCTGCAGCATCTCCCAGCCACGCAGCTCCCAGGATCGCTGCCCAGGGATGAGCTGGGAGGCCTCTCGTGGGAGGCTCTTGTTGCCGGCCTGCTTGGGGACTTGGCGGCTCTGTGACCTGGTGGGTCACGAGGCTTTTCTTTTTGAGATGGAGTCCTGCTCTGTTGCCCAGGCTGGAGTGCTGTGGCATGATCTCAGCTCACTGCAACCTCCACCTCCCAGGTTCAAGCAATTCTCCCGCCTCAGCCTCCCGAGCAGCTGGGATTACAGGCAGCCGCCACCACGCCCAGCTATTTTTTTGTATTTTCAGTAAAGATGGGATTTCATCATGTTAGTCAGGCTGGTCTCAAACTCCTGACCTTGTGATCCGTCCGCCTCGGCCTCCCAAAGTGCAGGGATGACAGGCATGAGCCACCGCACCCAGCCCGAGAGGCTTTTTGTGCCTGTGGCCCTCTCTGCAGATGGGGCACTAGGGGTTATTGATGACAAGGAAGGCCGCGCAGGGCTTGCTGTGGGAGGGGCTCCTGAACAGCCCCGGGTGGGGGTGGGGGGCTGCAGAAAGGCAGGGTCAGGGCCAGCAGGTGTCAGGATGAGGATTAGGATGACGATCATCACTCAGTGGCGCTTGTGTGTGCTTCCTCAGGCGGGCAAAACAAACGATCCCAGATGGGCCTCAGCAGATGCTCATCTCACAGCTCTGAGGGCCAGAGGCAGACGTCATGGGTCATCAGGGCTGCACTCCTTCCGGAGGCTGCAGGGTCCTTCCTGTCCTTCCGGAGGCTGCAGGGTCCTTCCTGTCCTTCCGGAGGCTGCAGGGTCCTTCCTGTCCTCCGGCGGCTGCTGTGGGGTCTTTCCTGCCTCTCCTGGCTCCTGGTGGCGGCCGGCTGCTGTGGCTGAGCATCTGTGATGTTGAAGCTGGACCCCAAGTGGACAGTGTTAGGAGTGGATCACTTGGGCAGTGACTGCGTCATGGGGGTGCACCCCTCAGGAATGGAATTTATGCCCTTTTATAAGAGTGCCCCAAGAACTGGCTGGCCCTTTCCCATGCTGTCTGTGAACCCTCAGCAGACACTGAATCAGCTGACACAGCACGGTGAGAAATCAGCGTCTGTGGCCAGTCCGCTGCCCGGCCACAGCGCTGTCTGTCACAGCCACGGAACGTGCCGGGACGCCGTCCGGCGTGGCCTTGATGCCAGTGGACGCAGCTCGGCTTCCTCTGCATCTCAGGCCTTCTCCCCGCAGGTTAAACGTTGCTATTTCCACACCCAGCTCTAAAATAAAATCACGTTTATTTTATTCCTAAAAGGAAAGCCAGTTGTGGAAAATATGGAAACTACAAGGTAAATAATAAAAAGAAATTCCCCACCTGCCTCCTGTGGTCCCACTGACTCAGCTGGAATCCTAACTCGACCTTGTCCGTGAGCTGTTGAGGTCAGAGGGCTTGGGTTTGGGCTTGATGACCCAACCCCAGGCTGGCCATGGTGGTGGCTGGGTCTGCGGGTCCTTTGGCAGAAAGGCCCTGCAGGTAGCTGGCACAGGCTCCATGGCAGAGGTTCCGGGAAGGAGCAGACTCTCCTTTTGGGGCCCCCTCTCCCCTTGCTGCGTCCTCACTGTCTGTGCCTCCTAAGGGGTGAACCACAGGCCTGGCCTCGCCTGGGGAGAGATAAGGCCGGGATGTTCCCTCAGGTCGCCTCTCCCAGCTCTCACGGATGGCTTTGCCTAAGGGAGGCTTTTTTTTTTTTTGAGACGGAGTCTTGCTCTGTCGCCAGGCTGGAGTGCAGTGGCACAATCTCAGCTCACTGCAACCTCCACCTCCCAGGTTCAAGCGATTCCCCTGCCTCAGCCTCCAAGTAGCTGGGACCACAGGCGCACATCCCTGGCTAATTTTTTGTAGTTTTAGTAGAGATGGGGTTTCACCATGTTGCACAGGATGGTCTCGATCTCCTGACCTTGTGATCTGCCCGCCTTGGCCTCCCAAAGTGCTGGAATTACAGGCGTGAGCCACTGTACTTGGCCCAAGATGGCTATTTTTACAGGTAAAAAAATGAATTATTTGAAGGTGGGAAGTAATATTCTGGAATTCAACAAGAGGGAACAAATGCTCTGAGCAAAGTGCCCCAACCCAGAAATAAAATGTTTACAAAGCGCAGGCCATGCAAATGGCCTTTTCGGATGAGCGCTCTGGGGTGCTGCCCCTTGAGGGCTGGTGTGGAGACAAGCCTGCAGCCCAGGGACACATCCAGCAGCTCTTCCTTGCTTTTCATAAGATCGGGTCTCCAGAGTCCGCCGCACGCAGGCAGTCGCACTGAGAGCTCAGGTGGGTAACTGTCCCAGCAGCAGCAAGACCTGGACTATGGACAAGCCGGGGACTGGGTCCCCTGTGTGGACACAGCACCACCCAGAATGTCCCCTGTGCTTATTACCGAAACAGAGGCAGGAAGGGGCCGGGTGCAGTGGCTCATACCTGTAATCCCAGCACTTTAGGAGGTCGAGGCAGGAGGTCACCTGAGGTTGGGAGTTCGAGGCCAGCCTGACCATCATGGTGAAACCCCATCTCTACTAGAAATACAAAATTAGTGGGGTGTGGTGGTGCATGCCTGTAATCCCAGCTACTTGGGAGGCTGAGGCAGGAGAATTGCTTGAACCCAGGAGGTGGAGGCTGTGGTTGGCCAAGATCCTGCCATTGCACTCCAGCCTTGGCAACAAGAGTGAAAACTCTTTCTCAAAAACAAAAACAAAGGCGGGAAGGGAAGGCCATCCCTCCTCCCAAGACAGAGGCCCTCAAACGGGCTGAATACATGTGTCTCTTTTCCTTGTCTGAAGATTTAAATGTGAAGTCGCCAACCTTCCTGGGCATGTGCGCCCAGTGAGTGGTGCCCTGTGGTCACGTGTGCATTTGCTCCCACACACATGGCCTGCAGTCTGGCCAACCTGCCTCAGTCCCCAGGTGCCCCGCACATAGCACTGACGTTCCCCTCTGCTCAGAAACACAGGACCCATGCATGTCCTTGCGCTCAGGGCACCGTTCTGACATTTAATGCTGAATTTACAGGGACGTACGCACCATGTCACACTGGTCAATTGCTCTAAGATACACCTGGGAAAAAGCACAGTGTCCTTCGTCTCCACGAGAGAACTTACTGGAAGCAGCCTTCGTACACAACTCTACCAAAGAAGAAGTCCAGTACCCCTTTCCATAGAAGAATATATTATTTAAAAGACAGTTTAAAAATAAAATTCTGTACAGCATCATGAATTCCTTTTTTTTGTATCAGTGAACAAAATGGTTCTTAGAAAACGTGGTTGTGTGGTGCCAGGTGCCCCGGGCAGCTCCTCCCTGTGCAAGGATCCTGCGTGGCTCCGTCAGCGTGTCCAGAACCGTGGCCACGGTTCCCACTTTCCTCAGGTACAGTCTCCTGGAAGAAGGAAAATGGTGACTGATTTAATTTTGTTAGGGTTAGGTTGCAGTGGCTCACGCCTGTAATCCCGGCACTTTGGGAGGCCGAGGTGGGCGGATCACGAGGTCTGGAGTTCAAGACCAGCTTGACTAAAATGGTGACACCTCGTCTCTACTAAAAATACAAAAATTAGCTGGGCGTGGTGGCACGTGGCTGTAATCCCAGCTACTCAGGAGGTCGAGGCAGAAGAATTGCTTGAAGTTGGGAGGCGGAGGTTGCAGAGAGCCGAGATTGCACCACTGTACTCCAGCCTGGTTGACAGAGCGAGACTGCATTTCAAAAGAAAAAACAAAACAACAATAACAAAAAGTGCCAGCAGTCTCACAAACGTCACAGGATCACACACAGACCATTATTATTATTATTATTATTATTATTATTATTATTATTATTTTTGAGACGGAGTTTCACTCATGTTACCCAGGCTGGAGTGCAATGGCGCGATCTCGGCTAACCGCAACCTCCGCCTCCTGGGTTCAGGCAATTCTCCTGCCTCAGCCTCCTGAGTAGCTGGGATTACAGGCACGCATCACCATGCCCAGCTAATTTTTTGTATTTTTAGTAGAGACAGGGTTTCACCATGTTGACTAGGAAGGTCTCGATCTCTTGACCTCGTGATCCACCCGCCTCGGCCTCCCAAAGTGCTGGGATTACAGGCTTGAGCCACCGCGCCCGGCCCCGTTATTATTTTTTTGAGGCGAAGTCTTGCTCTGTTGCCCAGGTTGGAGTGCAGTGGCACAATCTTGGCTCATTGCAATTCCCCTGCCTCTGGCTCCCGAGTAGCTGGGATTACAGGTGCACACCACCACACCTGGGTAATTTTTGTGTTTTTAGTAGTGATGGGGTTTCACCACGTTAGCCAGGCTGGTTTTGAACTCCTGACCTCAAGTGATCTGCCTGCCTCAGCCTCCCAAAGTGCTGGGAGTACAGGCGTGAACCACCGCAGCCGGCCAATACACAGAGCATTGTAAAAGAACGAGGCCATCAGACATACTGCTGAACACATTGAGGTAAAATAAAACAATACTGATCCCTCTTTTAAGCCACTGAAAAATATGAACTGACTTAAAAATTAAATGCCAACATTTGCTGAGCACTTCCCATGACTAGTGCTTTGACCGCTGAATCGCCAGAAAAGCAGTAACAGTGGGAGTACTGCCTCGGGTTAGAGACGGGGGCTCTGGGGTTCAGAGAGGCTGAGACACCTGTGCTCGTCTCTCGGCTTGTCACTGGCAAGCCTGGACTCAAGCCCAGCTGTGCCGGACGCCAAAGCCTGTGGCTGCTCCTCTCATAAGCCATGTCCAGTGTGGCCCGCCCTGAGCCGTGATGCTTGCTGAACTGAGTATCTCTTGAATTATCTGTTAGGCATGCACAGTGTGGCCTTTTTACGAGGTGAGCAGAGGTCTGCTCTGATTCCCTGTCAGCTGAATGACCAGGGTCAACAAGGGCAGAGGAAACTGCTCAAAGCCGTATAAAGCGAATACGCGATTTTTGAAAAGTTTTCAGTACTTCAATCGCACTTTTAAAAAGTGCTTACTCTTATAAGTGATGCATATGCTAATTATTGATGTTTTTCTATTAACTAAAGCATGTTCCCCCTCTTTAAGAGTCTCTCTTTTTTTTCTTTTGAGATGGAGTCTTGCTGCTGCCCAGGCTGGAGTGCAATGGCAGGATCTTGGCTCACTGCAACCTCCCTCCCCCAGGTTCAAGCGATTCTCCTGCCTCAGCCTCCAGAGCTGCCATTACACGTGCACACTACCACACCCAGTTAATTGTATTTTTAGTAGAGACGGGGTTTTACCGTGTTGGCCATGCTGGGTCTTGAACTCCTGACCTCAACTGATCTGCCTACCTTGGCCTCCCAAAGTTCTGGGCTTACAAGGCGTGAACCACCGGCCATCAGAGCCTAATTCTAATGATAGGATGCAAGGAATAAAAGCTCCATTCATTTAAAGATATTCCAAAATTTGGCTTTTCTCCCTCTCCTCTTTCCTTCTGTCCTGCACGGGAAGGATCGTTGACGCTGAGATGCCGCTTCAGCAGGGCGAGCTTACCTTCACTGCTTTTCACATCTCTGCTTCTCTCTCTGGACTTCTCAGTGGCCCCAGACGTCAAGCTGTCAGTCTTCTTCTGTAACTGGAACAGAGTGCAGAAAAGGACAAGTCAGGGGTAGGAGACAGCAGGGGATTGTCTGCCTCTCTTCCAGCAGCTCCTGTTGCCTGGAGATGCTGCTGTGTGAAGGCCTGCGGTCTCCAGCCCGTGTGTCCAGGCACTCCCGACACTGGCTCTTCAGAGGCAGCTCTGTGAGCCCTGTCCCGCTACTTCTGGTGCCTCATCTGGGGCCTGGACGGGGAGCTCACCCGGCTGCAGCCACCAGAGCTGCAGGGACTGGTATCCCCGACTGAGCGTCGGGGCTCAGGACTGGAGACTCAAGGCCTCATGGCTATGGCTTTCGAAGGGCCCACGAGAGAGGCAGGAGCCCCTTCAGCCCTCCTGCGGGAGTCTGGAGTGGGGGACGCCTTCTTGCTACATCTGCCCCTCTGCATAACTGCTCTCAGCTTTCGAGGTTTAGAGACCTTTCTGTGGATTTCCAGTAGGAGACTCTAGCTAGAGAAGTCAGGGCAGCTGGTCTGGGTTTTCCTAAGCAATTGCTGAGCATCTCCCACGTGCCTAGCCTGGCACCCCAGGAGGGGTGGGCATGGGGAGCTCGGGGCCGTCAGTAGAGGGAGAGGAGTCTAGCACAAGGCTAGGCCTGAAATGGCTCAGCGCTCAACAGGGCGTCGTGGGCCACATGGGCTTCAGGAGCACCCAGGCAAAAAAGATGGGGTGGTGGGCACAGGAACTAGGGATCCCTGACTGACAAGCTTGGAGAGTGCTTCAATGGCACAGAGGGCACTGTGGGGAGTGGGGGTGGCGGAGGCAACACTGGCCAACGCCAGGAGGTCAAACCCTGCAGGAGCAGTGACACTGTTCTAGCTGCCTGGGGGCGCTGGAGGGAGGAGGCAGGGGTGGGCGGGGCAGGGGCCACATCATGGGCAGCTGGACAGCAGAAGGCCTGGGGCAATCTGTGGAAAGACTGCATGGGCCCTGAGCCCATGACTTTAACCCCTTCCTCCAAAACAATATCAATCCAACAGCAACCTAAAGCCAGCCCCAGGCTCCCTGGCCCCTGAGAGGTGCTGGTGATGTATGTTCTGGGCCCAGGAGCTGGCAGGTGGTGGTCACTTTGTCCCTGTGCCAGGGCAGGGCCCCTTTCTACCCCATGGCCTCCTCTGAACAAGTCAGCCCTGGGGCCAGGACGGGCCAGGCACTGTGCTCAGAGGGGTCCAAGATGCTCTCACAATGGCCAATACACCCAAGGACACCTGGGTGCCCACAGGGGTGGGTAATGGTGTGATTCTTGTGAAGGGCATGGCCAGTCAACTCCCTGGAGGACACCGAGCCCTGATGCGCCCTCGGTCAATGCAGTTTTGGTTCTCTGATCACATTCCCTAATCTTACTGAGCCAGGCTTTTTCGTGGAAGGGACACGTGCTCCTGCCCATGGGGCCACCTTCAGCAGTGCCCTGCTTGGCACGTCCAAAATTCTGGAGTCAGGAGTGCGGAGGGCAGCGTGCCTGCTTGCCACAGGGAAGGCGCTGCTCGACGTGCGTTTTACCTCTTTCATGGCGTCGTCTATCCGCTTCAGTTCCTCGTAGCGATCTCGGGATTCCCAAAGTGGCTGCAGCATGATTTCCTCAACCATGGGGAAGAGCTGTGGAAGACAAGGGATTCATTCAGAGTCCCTGTTCTTAAGGCCATGGGAACGTCAGAGAAAAACAGGTGTCAGTGCACTGCACGGAAGCCTCTGGGCCAGTCCCAGCTCCTGGAAACCCGCGTGCTGGCTTGGCTGTTCCCGCCGTGCTGTGGCTCTGTCTCTGGCCCTCCTCACCCTCCATGAAGTCCTACAGAAAGTCCCCTTCCTGCCTCTTGTGTCCCCTGCCCCCGTGAGATGAGGGTGGGGGGCACAGGTTGGGAGGTTCTTACAAAGACACACGGCAGGGGAAAGGAGCTGACAGACCTCCTGGCTGGGAGCAGGAAGAGGGTGGGAGCGGGAAGAACTGCCCTGGAGCACACCGGAGCCTGGGAAGGGGAGGGTGGGAGGCTGGGAGCCCAGATCTGGCCACGGCTCAGTAGGGTGAAGCGGGGGAAACAAGATGGACCTGTTTTGCACATGCTGGGGGTGCCTTGGGAGCCCAGATCCGGCCACGGCTCAGTAGGGCGAAGCGGGGGAAACAAGATGGACCTGTTTTGCACATGCTGGGGGTGCCTTGAGGTGGGGCCTTGGCAGGGGCCCCGTGAAGAGCTGGGCAGGAACAAGCTGTGTGCAGCGAGCATGGTCTCGGGGGCTGGGTACGGTGGAGACTGGGACCTGGACAGGGGCTTCACAGTGGTTCCTCCACAGGTGCAGACTAGGCTGAACGGGGGCGCAGAGCAGGGAGCAGGAGAGTCAACAGCCGGTGCTGCCTCAAGGGTCCTAAAGGCCAGCAGTGAAGGACAAGGGCACTGAGGGGCCCCCCACGGCCCAGCGAGGCAAGGCAGGGAGGGCAGCACAGAGTGGGAGATGCCGGGGTCACCGGCCAGGCTGTAGATGGCAGGGAGAGTGGCCACCACGACAGCTGGGGAAGAGGCTGCTCAGGATGTGCAGGTGTGCCTGTGTGCATGTATATGTGCCTATGTGTGCCTGTACCTGTGTGTGTGCATGTGTGTGCCTGTGTGTACCTGTGTGTGTGCATGTGTGTGCCGGTGTGCATGTGCCTGTATGCCTTGTACCTATGTGCCTGTGTGCATGTGTGTGTTCATGTGTGTCTGTGTACACCTGTGTGCATGTGTGTGCGCAAGTGTGTGCCTGTGTGTACCTATGTGTGTTGGTGTATGTGTGCCTGTATGTATTGTACCTGTGTGTGCCTGCGTGTACTTGAGTGTGTGCCTGTGTTTACCTGTATGTGTGCCTGTGTATGTGTGTATACTTGGGTATGTGCATGTGTATACCTGTGTGCATGTGTGTACCTGTGTGTCTATGTACGTGTGTGCCTGTGTGCATGCCTGTGTGCACCTGTGTGCATGTATGTGCACGTGTATACCTGCATGTATGCATGTGTGTGCCTGCATCCCTATGTGCATGTCTGCCTGTGTCCCTGTATGTGCACACCTGTGTGTGCATGTGTGTGTACCTGTGTTCATGTATATGTGTGCCTGTGTGTGTGTGTGCATGCATGTGTGTGCCCACGTATCTGAGTGCATGCATATGTGGCATGTGGTGACAGTCGCTCACCTTGGTCACTGTTTCAAACATTGGGATCAGGACGAACTTGATGAACCCAATCTGGGCTGTAGCCTTGGTCACTTTGTCTCGGTCCATGAACGGGGCGACGGGGAGGCCTTCTGACTTCTCGCGGTCGCTCTGCAGGGAATGCAGTAGACAGCGACATTAAAGACAGACACGCCCGGAACTGGATCACTGTTCTTAGAGAAAGACAAGATGCGCCACTTAACCAGCGACCAACGCAGCTGCACACAAATGTGTGTCAGTAAGAGCACGCAGAAGGCGGCAGCATCTCCAGCGCTAAACAGAGCTGGGCGGACAGGTCTGGTGGGAAGACCGAGCTTAGGGACAGGCAGAGGCGAGCTGGGTGTATCCCAGGACTGCAGAAGCGTCTGCGGAAACCCTCCCGAGGTCTCCCGGGGTTGATCAAGCTGTGGTATTAATATGTGGCGGTTGTTTTCGGCTGGCCTGGTTTCTCTGTCCCTGACTTTCCCATGGCCATCTGTGTAAGCTGACCTGCTGGTCTGCCCTCCCGGGGCTCTCTCCTGCCTCTGTAGTTCTTGTTTCTTGACTTTCAGGCGATTTGCTCAACAAGCCTGCCTCTAAGAGTGGCTCAATGAGCAGTGACAGGTGGCAGTTTCACATTAGCTTTTCTGGGTTGTCACCATCTTTCAGGTCTCAAATTATAACCGATTTCATTTCTGATGTATGCGTGCCGTGAAGGCTTTCTGGAGGCTGACCTGTGGATGGTCCACCCTGGCGTACTCTGCTGAACGTGAACCCTTGCTACGTGGGCTGGTAAGAGTGGCTGGAGGCTTGACTGCTCTGCAAGACTCTTACCTGCATAAAATATTCCTCTAATAAGCAGTCCACCCAAGGCTCTGCAACTTCCATTGGCCGGACCTCATTAGAGATATCACAGCATTTTATCAAAATCATCTTCAGCTGAAAGAAGAGGTTCTGGAATTTAGGTAACAGAAGGTAGCATACGGCCTGCTGCTGCTGCTTAGCTCTGGACTTGCCATTACCGCAGGAAGAGACTGAGGACCATGAAGCTGGACCAGGCGACTGAGCTTGGCTGACTTCAGGAGGACAGGCTCCCTCCTCCAATGGAGAACGAACCTTCAAGGTCCTGTGTGAGTCCCCTCCTTCCAGCCTTTCTGAACACCCCAGCCCAGGTGATGCCCCCCGAAGCACTTCCCCATGCCTGGTCACCCCCTGTTTTCTGCTGGTCCCCAGGTGGGTGCATTGCTCATCTTCCCAGGGGACGGGAGCTCCCTCCAAGCTTGGCCAGGGTTCGGCACACCATGGGTTCTTCAGGAGGAGACAGGGCAGGCCCTGGGGTGCAGCAATTTCCACGTGAACTAGGCCAACGGTCGCTATATGACAGGCTGCGGAGGGCTGGCATCCCTCAGTCCCACCTGCACCAGGCACAAATGACTGGGGCCTGCCCTTTCTAAAAGGCAGACACTGGGCAGCCTAGGTGCACCTTCTCATGGGTGAGGCCCCCTGCCCCTTCTCTGGCCACCTTTTCCTGGTTTTAGAGGGGTGCTGGGCTATGGTGTGGGATGGATGGGTGATGCTTGGTGGGGATGCTGGCTTGGGGAGCAGGAGCTGGGTCGGAATTGCCCTCACAGAAGTGGGCTTTCGGGGTAGCATGCTGGGGCTGTGTCTTCATGGGAGAGCTGGTTTTATTCTCTGGAAAACAGAGAAAGATGCGTGGCCTTCACCCATGCATCTTCCTCCAAATCCAAAAGAGATGGAGGAATGGAAGAGTGCCCCTCTGACCATGAAGGAGGCTCTGTCAGGAGGGAGGCCCTGCCCTGGGCTTTCCTGGTAAGAGCCACGACCTCAAAAACCAGATATATAGACACCTTGTTCCAAGGCAAGATTAAGAATTTCGGCTTCTTGGCTTCCAGTATGAGCTGGATGGATGACCCACTCAACCAGCCCACTGCTTGGCTGCCCACCCAGGCAGAACAAGCCCACTCACCAGGGTCATGTGCTCCTCATTGCTGTAGTCAAAATTCTCCATTTTCTCTTTGAAAGAATCCATAATTTCTGCGTGCCTTGCCATGTCAGTGGCCAAGATTAACGTGATCATTCCCTGAATAGCGAGAGAGCACAGTGTTAACACAGGGCACATCCCAACAGCTGTTCAACAGGTGCCTCCTGTGTACATATTATTTCATATATCCCTCATTCTGGTGCATATGTGCATCCGTCACCCCTCTATTCATTTGTCCACACATCCATCCACCCACGCAAAACCCATCCATCCATCTATCCATCCATCCACCCACTCACCCATTCATCCTCCATCCATCCATCTACCCATCCATCCATCCATACTTCCTTCTATCCATTTATCCATCCATCCATCCATTCATCCACCCATCCATTCATCTACCCATCCATTCATCCACCCATCCATTCATCTACCCATCCATCCTTCCATCCATCAATCCATCTATCCATGCATCAATCCATCCCTCCTTCCATCCATCCATTCATTTATCCATCCATCCATCTATCCACCCATCTGTCCTTCCATTCATCCACCCATCCATCCTGCCATCTTTGTCCATCCATTTGTCCATCCTTCCTTTCTTCCATTTATCCATCCATTCATTTCTCCACCCATCAATCCACCTATCCATTCACCCATGTATCTATCCATCATCCATCCATGCGCCCACTTATCCATCCATGTGCCCACTCATCCATCCATGCACCCACTCATCCATCACACAGGCATTACAGAACCCATCTCTGTGCCAGGTATATTTTCTTCTTTCAAGAAAATAAAACCATAAGCATCAGATACAAAACCCAAACCCATCAAACTAGGTCCTTTCAAATGTATATTTAGGGGGGCATCACATGTATCTTGAATTATTCAATTTTCCTGTAAACATTTAATTGTGTTATTAGTGAAGCATTTATTCCTGAAATCTTCCATGACAAAATATATTTTTAAAAAATTGGTAAAACTAATTTTATCCCTAGAGGATAGTCATATTTTGAAGTCAGTGAAGCATGTGAAGCAGGACAATGCTGGTGTGTCCCCATGGTGGCTGGGTATGAGGACGATCCCACGTGCAGAGTGGCTGCTCCTCTAGTCAGGTGCCACCTCCTTCTCTCGTGGGATGCTCTCCGACATGGCGCGGTGGGACAAGGCCTACACTAAGGGGTGCTCACTTGCTTTGATTCCCCAGGTTCTGTCCCTGTAGGAGCTCCCCACTGGGGTAGCAGAGGCAGACACAGTGTTCTCTCTTCCCAGCTGCCCCTTTACCTACTGCAGACGAAGATTTACCATGCCTTATCGTAGCCACACAGGGCACCTGCTTGCAGGGTGTGGAAGGGGGAGCATGGATGAGAGGCCAGAGAGCCTGTAGATAAGGAGGAGATAACTGTACTGGAACCGGTGATTCAGTAATGAACTGCAAATTGTCTCTGTTGAATTGTGTGTGTTTGTGCGATGATGTCATCACAGGCCCATGAGCCCAGCGGCTGTGCGTCGGCACCTAGTGGGTTCTGAGGTGCAGCTGTAGTGCTCCTCCCAGGCCGTCACCGTGCACACTGTGCACGTGGATGGATGGATGGGTAGATGGAAATGTTCCCTTCTCTCCTTTCACGCTCACAGCGGCCGGCACAGCACAGGCCAGCAGAGGCCTGGACCTCAGCATCCCAGGGACCTTTGGCCTGGTTCTGCCAGCTCTGCCTTTGGGACATGGCGACATTTAACAATTTCACAGGAGGCCATGATGCCTCGGGCCTGTCCCAGGGGGCATGCTGCTTCCTCGGAGCTTCCTCAAATGTTTCACTGACTTCAGTTTTTTACATTGAGCTTTGAACTTCCTGGAGGCGTAGACAAATTAGAGAGCCGTGGTCGAGGAGGCTGCTGCTGTCTGATAAAGGGAGGCTCAGCAGCTCTCGGGAGCGCTGGAGTCCAGACAGCCTTTGTCAGCTGCCTCTGGAAGGAGGCCATTTAGACTTCCAATGGCTGAGGTCTGCCTGGTGGAACGGCAGAAGACGGCACACTGGGCGAGTGTCCTGGGGCCGCCACACCAAGGGCCACAAACCAGGCAGCTTATAACAACAAACTCATTCTCTCACGGTGCTGGAGGCCAGAACTAAGATCCAGGTGCGGGCAGGGCCTGCTCTCTCCAAAGGCTCCGGGGGGGGGGGGGGTCCTTCCTTGTCTCCTCCTGCTCCTAGGGGCCCCAGGAGTCCCTTGCTTTGGGGCTGCGTCACTCCAGCCGCCACTCACTGCCTCTTCACATGGCCTTCTCCCTGTGTCTGGGCCATTTTTTCTTCTGTCTCTTCCAAGGACACTCGTCTTTGGATTTGAGGCCCCCTTGGGCAAGCCACAGCCGTCTTATCTGGGGATCTTAACAAGCACAAATGCACAGACGCTTTTTCCAAATAAGGTCATGTTCACCGGAGGGGGACCTTGTTTGAAGGACACTGCTATTCAAAGCACTGCATTTCTCCCAGAGGTCACTCCGAGAGATTATTCCCTCCCCTGCAGATGTCAGGGAGTGAGGGTTTGATGAGGATTCCCTGTGGAAAGGGGCGTGATTCCGGTGAGCCGGAAGTGTTTGTCTGGGGCAGGTGGACCGGATCACCTTCCTCTCCTACAGATGTCCTCATTCTCCCTGCACCATCCCCTCCAGAGGCAGAAAGCCCTCTTATCTAAAATGGAAGAGGTGGCCAGGTGCAGTGGCTCACGCCTGTAATCCCAGCACATTGGGAGGCCGAGGCAGGTGGATCACCTGAGGTCAGGAGTTTGAGATCAGCCTGGCCAAGATGGGGAAACCCCATTGCCACTAAACATACGGAAAATCTGCTAGGTGCAGTGGCTCACACTTGCAATCCCAGCGCTTTGGGAGGCCAAGGCAGGCAGATCTTGAGGCCAGGAGTTTGAGACCATCCTGGCCAACATGGTGAAACCCTGTCTCTACTAAAAATACAAAAATTAGCTGGGTGTGATGGCATGTGCCTGTAATCCCAGGAGGCTGAGGCAGGAGAACTGCTTGAACCCGGGAGGCGGAGGTTGCAGCGAACCAAGATGAGATTGTGCCACTGTACTCCAGCCTGGGTGACAGAGCAAGACTGTCTCAAAAAAACAAAACTAAACCACAACAACAAAATACTGAAAATTAGCCAGGTGTGGTGGTGCACACCTGTAATCCCAGCTACTCAGGAGGCTGAGGCAGGAGAACTGCTTGAACCTGGGAGACGGAGGTTGCAGTGGGCCGAGATTGCACCACTGCACTCCAGCCTGGGCAATAGAGACTCTGTCTCCTGCCTAAGCCTCAAAAAAAAATAAAAAAATGGGAGGGGGCTGACCGGGCCGTGGGTGGCAGGTGACAGCACCTGGGGTTATGGGGCAGTGGGCAGCTTTCCTACGTTGGATGCAGTAGACGTGTCTGTCTGGGGCCTGGCCCCTCCTTGGTCAGCTACGTACCTTCGCTGTCTGTTTCCTGGTCTGGAAGATGGACAAAGGGTTTATCTCAAAGGGGCCAGTGGAGGCTGAATTAAATAGAAGCTGGGAAGTGTGGGTCAGTGGCATACGTGTGCGCATGGCGAGGGTACCCTCTTTTTTTGGGCACCACTCTGGGGCCTGGAGGTGAGGAAGGAGAGAGGGGTTCCCCTGGGTCCCCAGGGCACTGCTGTGGCCAGGAGCTTCTGGGAGCCTCTATTCACTGGAGAGTGGGGCTGCTCTGCCCCCACCACGAATGTGCCCCTCTCCGGTCGGAGGCCCTCGCCCAACACACCTGTCGGATCTGCTTGAAGCCATCAGGGGGGATGCTGGAGAAGATGTTGCACTCGGGCTGGGCGAGGATCTGGAAGGCCACGGCGCAGTGGTGGTTCTCCAGTGGCGAGATGTCATTGTAGCGGACTGCCAGCTCTGTGCGGGCGTTGATCTGGTACCTGGGAGGCGAGGGGAGCGTGAGGGGAGGCTCAGGTACCCTCGCCCCATGAGGGACACCTCACTCCCACCTCCTGTCCCTCTGCAGTCTCTTTTCTCACTCTCTTCTGGCCCCTGCTCTCTGCCTTCCCTGCAGACGCCAGCTGGGAGTCTGTCCAGGGAGGGGCGAGTTCCTGAGAGGGGCGTGCGGAGCCCCCATCCCTGCATACACAGCAGTGTTGCTTTCTGCCTGGGGTGGAGAAGGCGCTGGTGCAGTCAGAGCTCTGCCGTGCACCTGAGCCTGGAGCCAGGCACGCACAGAGCTGGGAAAGGCCGGGGTCTGATAATCCTGACGGTTCCCGCTCCGGGGAGACCCAAGGCCCTGGGCAAAGTCCAGAAGCTGGAGCTGTGTCGGTGGAGGCAGAGCTGGGGCTGGGAGGCTGCCATTGACAGCTCCATCTGGGAACTGCTCTGAGGGTTGGGCTGATAGGTTCCCTCTGGTAGCCAGGTGCCTTTTACAAGGAAAAAAAGAGAAAACCCTGTACATACGTGTTGTTGTAGCCGGGATGGTCCAGATCGTGGCAGATGGCTGCTGTCATTAGGATCAGGATATCCGTTTGGGAAAACTTCTCCTGGATTGGAAAGCAGGGCATAGGTGTTTGCTCTCTTCACTTGGAGGGTGGGATGGGTGAGGGGGGTGGAACTGGGTGAGTGGTGGTGGTGGGAGAGGGGACAAAGCCCCTGCAGCCACGTGGAGTCTCCCGGCATGGTAGGAGAGGACTGGCCTGCCTACGGTGTGGAGGGGTGACCAGGTTGGGGCACACTTGCTCATGTAATCCTAGCAGCGGCCTCTCCCATGGGGAGACTGACGGGTAGGGGTGCTTTCCTAGGAGGGGCGGAGCAGCTGAGGACCCCATGCCTGTGGCATTCTCGATGGGAGGGGGCTGCCGCTCCCCAGAAGGAGCCTCCACCTGACCCAGAGAGTGGAGGTCTGGGTGTGCGGCGGGCAGGACCCACCTGGAGACCGCAGAGCCAGACCATGCTGTACATCATCTGGGCCACGCAGAAGCAGTGCCGGAAGTTGTGGAAGGGGTTGTTTCTGTAGTTGTCGTGCACACAGAGCTGCGGGAGGCAGGGGGTTGGGGTCACCCTGTGCCTGGGCCCACCCACTTCTCCTCCCAAGCCACCCAGAAGGCTGTGCGCGGGCTTGAACGTTCTCTGCCAAACCTCATCCCAAGCAGAGGTCAACAGCGTTCCCATGTTTACCACAGATACCAATGAGGCGATGCAGAGACCCTGAGAACGTCAAATGGGCCACACCATGGCGCCCAGGGCAGGTGTGGGGTCATAGCTCCCACCAGGGGCTCTCACCTTGCAGTCAAGGACATTGGGGCACAAAGTTAGGGGGTGGGGGAGGGGAGACTCCAAGAGGGGGCTCTGGTCCTCAATTCCATGAAATCTTTAATAGGTTTTTAATATTTGTTCTGAACAATATTTCATTAAAAATACCTGCTGCTAAACATACACATACAGACATCACATGCACACACCCACACTCATTCCTACACACTCACATTCACACTCCCCATATCCACAGATACACATGCACACACACACAGACACATCCCACATCCACACATACAGACACACAGGCACACACACCCCACACCCACACCCAGACACATGCACACACCCATCCTCACACATGCACCCCCACACACCCCACATCCACACACATGTGCACCCCCACACACCCCACATCCACAGACACACATGTGCACACTCACACACCCCACAGCCACACACAGACACATGCACACACCCATCCTCACATGCATCCCCATACATCCCACAGCCACACACGTACACACTCACACACCCCACATCCACACACACATACCCCACATCCACACACAGATACACACATGCACACCCATTCTCACACACGTGTCCCCACACACCCACACTCATTCCTACACACCCACATACACTCACTCCCCACATCCACACAGATACACATGCACACACACACAGACACACCCCACATCCACACATACAGACACACAGGCACACACACCCCACACCCACACACAGACACATGCACACACCCATCCTCACACATGCACCCCCACACACACCCCACATCCACAGACACACATGTACACTCACACACTCCACATCCACACACCCAGAGACACATCCCACATCCCCGCACACAGACACACCTCACATCCACACATACAGATACACATGCACACAGACACACCCCATATCCACACACAGATACACACATGCACACCCATTCTCACACACGTGTCCCCACACCCCACATCCACACAGATACACACATGCACACCCATTCTCACACATCATGTGCCCCCATAAACCCCACATCCACACAGATACACACATGCACACCCATTCTCACACACATGTGCCCCCATAAACCCCACATCCACAGATACACACATGCACACCCATTCTCACACACATGTGCCGTCATAAATCCCACATCCACACAGATACACACATGCACACCCATTCTCACACACATGTGCCCCCATAAACCCCACATCCACACAGATACACACATGCACACTCATTCTCACACACATGTGCCCCCATAAATCCCACATCCACACACAGATACACACATGCACACCCATTCTCACACACATGTGCCCTCAAACCCCACATCCACACACAGATACACACATGCAGACACATCCCACATCCACAGATACCACATGCACACACCCATACTAACACACAGACACACTCCCACCCCACATTCACACATACCCACCCCTAAACACACACACAGACACTCCCCACATGCTCACATCCACACCCCTACACTCACACATATGAATACACTCTAACTCACCCACACTCACACAGACACACACACAACACTCCCACCCACACACCCACACTCCCACACGCTGCTGCTTTAGGACACGCTGCTTCGCTTGATGATGGCAGAGTCTCACTATTTTCCTGCTCATCAGAGCAGGAGCTTGGGCGTAAAGAATGTTTTTTGGTGGAAGGACGAACACAGACAGGCCGAGTGTCCTCACAAAACTCCCTGGGGAACGTCGCCCCTGCTCTCAGGGAGCGCAATGCCATCAGGAAGGTGCGCAGGTGATGCATTCCCTCCGTGCCTGTGGAACTGGATGAAACCAGCTGCCTGGGAGGAACCAAAGGCGGGTCTGGCACTCACCAGCCACCTCCTGAGGGTGACGGGGTTGATGCTGAAGTCCCTGACCAGCCCGAGGTCGTGGTACATGTGCTCCAGGCAGCTCAGCATCTGTGGGCACAGGAGAAGGGTGGGCCTCAGGCAGCCGTGTAGCTGGCTCCCCAGCCCCTGGCTTCCTTCTGTCATCCTCGGAGTGCCAGCAGGGCGGTCGGCAGGAGGGTGGGCTCTCCCCCTCCCAGAAAGTCTGCTGAGAGCGAAGCCTGGTCGGCGAGATGCAGGAGGAGCGGTCTTTGGACTGGCCTTTCCACGCCACCCAGATGGGTGGGGCTTTGAGAGCGCACTGGGGGTCTCCTGGGGGTGGAGGGCTGGTTCCGAAGTCAAGGAGAATTCTAAGATAGCAAGGATGGCGACTAGGCGAGAGAGCACACCCCACTCCCAAATCACCACACCAAAAGGTTTTATTGATTTCTACACATGAAAAACAATCTCAGTGGAGCAGGATCACAGCTGAGGTTTCCAGGACACGGTTCTATCCGGCACACACCTGAGCACGGTGGTGTCACAGAGAGAAAGGCCCTTTCCTTGCCTGAGGCTGGAGATCAAAGGCGCTTTGACGATCTACATCCAGAAACGCCGAACTGCGCTCCTCTGGGGCCCCGCTGGGACCCGAGACACTTTTACGTCTTAACTTGCAGTGTGCAGAGGGAGCCCGCCCTGCGAGAGCCGCTCCTCCTAACCCTTTTTCATGGAGCTCTGGCTTCTCTTGAGATCCCTGTTCAAGCTGAAACAGATTTTGTTTTCAGTCCCAAAGAGGATTTATTGTCATGGTGGACATCTATTTCAATGCAGCTCAGTCAGTGCCTTGGAGCTAATTAAGTCAGGGAGGAAAAGATGAAGTGAGTTTTAAAAATGAGAGTTTGACCAAAGTGGGCATTGCTTTCTGGAAAAACCAGATCTTGGGTGGGGAGCCCAGCAGGAGGGGGGACGTGCAGAAAAGGGGCAGTTTAGACATTCCTGGCAGGTGTCCCCCACCCAAGACCCCCCACCTGTGCCCCCCTCCAGCCCAGCCGCCCGCTGCCTGCTGTCTGTGCAGGGCACGGGGCCATCCCTGCCGGAGCCCAGCATGGCTTCCTGCCTGTCTCTGCTCATTGCACAACCTTCTCTTCCCAAAAGGGCATGTTATAAACCAAACCGCACCTTCCCCTAAGTCAATGTGTTAAAGCCCTGACCCCAATGGGCTATTTGGAGACAAGGACTTCACGGAGGTCAGGAAGGTTCCATACAGTCAGGGTGAGGCCTTGGTCCAATGGGGCTGTTGTCTTTTTTTTGAAATGAAGTCTCACTCTGTCACCTAGGCTGGAGTGCAATGGCACGATCTCAGCTCAATGCAACCTCTGCCTCTCAGGTTCAAGCAATTCTCCTGCCTCAGCTTCCTGAATAGCTGGGACTACAGGTGTGCGCCACCATACCCGGCTAATATTTGTATTTTTAGTGGAGACGGGTTTCACCATATTGGCCAGGCTGGTCTTGAACTCCTGACCTCGTGATCCGCCCGCCTCGGCCTCCCTAAGTGCTGGGATTATAGGCGTGAGCCACCGCGCCCGGCTGGGATTGGTGTCTTTATAAGAAGAGGAAGAGCACCGGGGGTCGTTGTGCAGAGAGAACAGGCCACAGGAGGACACAGCAAGATGGTGGCCGTGTGCAAGCCACGGACAGAGGCCCCTGGAGAAGCCAAACCTGGCAGCCACCTTGATCCCGGACTTTCAGCTCCAGAACTGTGGAAGCAACTTCTATGGCTGAAGCCACCCCAGTCTCTGCATTTTCTTATGGCAGCCTCAGCAAATGAGGACAGGGTGTGCCGCCAAAAAATCCATTTGTACTTGCTACGCTGTGTATGAGACCTGGAAATGCTGCCAGGGAGGTGCGTCTTTGTAGACTGAAGCTTGCAATCATGGCATTGATGAGACGGCTCTACAGGAGGCAGAGGGTTCTCTGGCATTGCATAGAATCCATCTGGAAAACTGGAAACTCCTCCACATGCGGCCACAGATGGGAGCTTGAAATGTCACCTGGGAAACATCCTTAAAGCACGTGAACCACATACTCATTTTCCTTGGGGGGACAGTGCAGCTGTAGCTTAGATAATGTGCAGGGCATCGGTCTGGCTTTTGGATATGGGGCCCCACGTGAGGACAGGAGGGCTGGCTCCCAGGCCGCTGTCAGCTGCTGCCTGGATCACCCAGCCAGGGGCCTCGCTGCCCAGAGCTGCTGGCCCCTCACCGTCCTGAACGCTGGCGCTTAGGACTCTAGAGGCTGCAGCCTAGAAAATCCTTGCTCTCCACCTGAACAGCCCAGATGCTGCTCAAGGCAGCCCTGAAGGGCAGATGTGTCTGCTGTTGAATCAGAGCCAAGAGGAGATGCTAACTGGCAGACAGAGCTACCTGGTGCCACTTACGTGGCCTATGTGGACGCTGTGGGGCAGGAGGGCCGTATGCATCTGTGGCTGCACGTGCAGTCTTGAGCTCCGGGCGGGCAAGAGGGAGTGGGCAGCTCCCGCATGCGGCGGTGGGTCCTGGTCTGAGTGGGCTGCATGGTCCACTCGTGGGGGGCTCATGAGATGATCGGGGAGGCTCCTGAAGCCTCCCAGCTCTGTACTCGATAGAGGCAGGCCACAGCCCTGGGCGGAGGCCCTAACAGATGGGAGGGCACGGCAGCCTGAAGTCATGTCCCCCGTCTGGTTTGTGAAGGGCAGGACACTGGTTCGAGCCACTGGGAGAAAGACAGGGTCGCCCCTGCTGGAAGGGAGAGAGGTGATCAGCTGTGGGGCACTGGCGTTCTCTGAGTGCCTGCTGCCTCATGGGCAGCCAGATGTAGCTTTGTGGGGCCGATGGGGCTGTTTTCCTGTGTGTCCCTTTAGTTGTCCCTCTTTGCCACTCACATTCCAAAATTCTTGGCATTGCCAGATCTGCCAGAGGCCAAGGCTCCTGTCTTGGACATCTCTGTGTTCTCACATGCAGGCAGCTAGATGTTTCTTGGAAGCACTGGAACCCTCATTGGTCTCCTGGGGTGCCCTTGGGATCTGCTGGGCAGAAACCATGGGCCGTGGGATACACCACCCAGAAGCTGAGCCCAGCCGCCGGGAGCCGTTTGCCTTGCCTGCCTGCCAGCCCTGAAAGCAGGTGTGAATCCACTCTGCGATCACAGGACAGAG